TATCTAGAACTTTCCACCCCGGCTATCGTTGCACACAAGTCACTGAATCACTCCCAGGGACTATTTCCCACTATTAACATATATTTGTCTCTCGAGTAATAATGATGGCTTGTTCCCATTAACTTGACTGGGCTTGGATCAGGCTCCATCCAGTGCAAGGGCAAGTCTAAAAGTGACAAGAAATATCGTATCTAGATGTAAAACTTGAAGAGGGACAAAGGGAGACGAAATACATTGCTACCTCTGGGATATGCCTGGACTCATGGGATTAACACTCTTCCTTCACAAAACGAGTTTGATTCTACATGGTCAAGACCTAGTTTTCTATCTCCTCTACTGACACGTACTTCTGATAACAGACCTCCCCCACCCCAGCGCTGGGTGGACATGGGGTTTGGCACTGGTTCAGAGGAAGGCGACTGTGGACTCGTGCTGGTTCCTCTGCCCTGAACGTGTTTCTCCCCGCTAGCGCGTCCCAGCGCTGTTCTGGTTGGGAGAGGAAAGATCTGCTTGTCTCTGGGGTGCAGTTAGCTACTGAAATGGTGGAGGGAGGATGTCAAGGTAATACTGTGAAGAAGGATCACTGGTTCTAACAAAGTTTGTCATTGGTGCCATCTCTAGACCGGCAATCAAATAATGACACTTCAGTAATTTGTGCTATACGATCATCTGTGTTATCAAAAGGCAAAACTGAATTGAAGTTTCAGAGTGGGGACTCTTCTTGTTTTATGATTCATGTCATGATTTTGGTCTTTTGTTTCACAGGCTGCGGGGGACTGCAGAGCCATAAGCGTGGAGAAACATATATTCCTCCTCCACAGGGATTTTACCCATGCCGGCGTGTTTTTTAAATCATACAGGGCTTTCTTACCTCCAGGCCAAGTATCGGACCTTCTCCTCAGCAAGTAAGAGCCAAGAGCTGTGGAGGAAGCTGGAATGGCCTTTAGAGGTGGGGCATTGCAAGAAATTATCTCAAATAGTTTTGAAGAAGGCATACTTAAGAAGCTAAATTATATGCATGTCTTTCTAACAAGCCTGAAAAATTCAGTGTTTCAGTTGAAACTGGGTTGAAAATGCCTCCTCAGAGCCCAGTACTTTCTCAACAAAGGAGCTCAATAAGTAAAATGGACTGTTTGGTTCTTTAGTGGAAAGGTAGGACAGCTGGAGGCAAGCAGTCCTCCAAACAGCTGAACACACTGCTGGAAAAATCATGTGTTAACAAATCCAGGCTGTCACTGTCCCTCTGCATAACTCTTTGCTCCGTGAATCAGGCTCTGCTGGATCAGAAGAGGGATTTCACAGGGCTAAAGGCATCAAGCATCATTGTCCCTTCCTCACCCTGCACCACAGTACTCCCCCAGCTCTGCTGTTGTGGAGGGACAGCAGACCGACAGCTTTGGTTTTCAGGGAAAACCTGGTTGAGCTGGACGAGATGTACCAGGTGCTCTTGTCTCTGGGCGCTGTTTTTGGGGAGAGCTGATGTACACTGGCACCAAATCCCACACATCAAACAGAAAACACTTTGACTTCCAAGGAATCCAAGTTTAAGTGGAGCTAGCTGTGGAGTAGTAGTACTTGATCTCGATGTTCGGACTAGTGTAGAAGTGCTCTTTATTCTGCCTTGAGTTCTGGACTGTCCTGCCCCCAAAGCCTGCTTCAAATCATTAGCACCTCTGCTGTGAAGTCACTTGTAGGATCCAGCAGTTATTTGTTGTGCCCCTGCTTCCCTTCCCCTCCAGTTCCTGAGTGAGTCACCAAGAGGAAAGAGTTTCCTTTTATTTCCTGTTCATGTGTTTTCACAATGAGATGATACAGAGAGCGGATTACAGATTAGAGCAGGAGACTGGTCATTTGACAGAACTGCTGGCCTCTAATCTGGACTCTCCTACTGACTTTCTGTAACACTGAGCAAGACATAGAAACTCTTTGCTTCACTTCCCAGAGGTGCTAGGTTGGCAAGGATGTGCAGGGCCAGAACAACTCAGCTGTGTGGCTCAGTGGCCTGACTCACCTTGACCAGCTGTTTTGTGGTCCTGCGAGGTTTGGAGGACAACAGACTGACGGTGGCTCTTTCACCGTGCTTCTGCCTCCTGTCTCCTGCTTTGCCATAGACTCCTATGCCATTCGGAAGGGCTGTGCATGCTGCCCACGGTCAGCCCAGGTATCAGCCCTGCTGTGGCTGAAATGCTGCACACCAGACTAGACCATAGCCATCCAAGGCTAAGGTTAAGATTGTTTTCTGTGGGAGCCTGCTGTTGTTTGGGGCTTGATCACTTTTTGTGTTAAAAATCCAACTCTCTTAAACTGTATTTAGGTAAAGAGACTAAAAAGGGTCCGGAAATGAAAAAAACCCTCCCTAGAGTAAAAAGAATATATCATGTTTTAATTTCTATTTCTGTGTTGCTTTTTAAAGATATGCCTTAACTTTCTTAAGCTCTTATATTAGTATTTGAGCCTAATAATCAATTAACTAATTTAATATTAATTGCCACAGGTATGCCAGAACATGTATGCTTTGTTCAGTGTGGCCAAGTTAACATTCCCAGGAAGCCATTCATATTTTTGTATCTCAGATTTTAATGGTTTAAGACTGGAGCTTAGGGTTGCACTAAAACAGGAAAAAATGGTCACTGTGTTTCATGTCCATCTCTTCTTTCCTTCCTCAAATTTTCTCAGGAGAAAGAGGTAAAAATGGGATGGAAAAAAATTCAACAAAGTGTTTATTATATAGGGCTAGCACTTTTAGTTGACCTTTAAGGCTAGGGACAGACATTACATGTAAACCGGTTTTAGTGGTCAGAAACCAGTTTAAACTTGCCCTACCCTATTGCTTCCATGCTGGGATCTGGAAGGAGCCTGCCTCTTTTCTGCTCTGGTTCCCTCTGTCTTCTCCTTATATTTAAACCCCTGAAAACCAGGCACACCACATAACATACCACCTCTCTATGTGCTGGGGAATTGGCCAGATAGAAGGGGGAGGGAGCCAGCTTTTGCTGCAGGAGGAAGACGAGGAGGGAACAGTTGGATCAGGGACATGGCAGGAACACCTTGCCAAAACAGACCTAGGGCCCCAGCTGGGTCAGGGGACAGAGGCAGGGAAGCCTTGTTTTATATACAGCTTTGGCTCCATAACCAAGGGAGCATTTGACCCTACTATAGGTTTCTGGTGGTCTTCCGATTGCAGAAACAGGTGTAATGATATGATGCGATATGAGATCTATGTAGCTTTTTGTAGCGAGGATATATCCAATGTGAAAACAGCGAAGCTACAAAGAGCTCTGGAGATGAGGGTCCATATCTACTGTTGGTTTAAACCACTGCTTCATGGAAATCAAAAGAGGTATGAAGATCTGGCTTCAGGGTGGTGTTGATCTTGCCACAACATGTTCCTCCAGACTATAAGCTCTTAAGGTTGGAGAATGTCATCAACTGTAACAGAGCCCAGAATTAAGAAGAGTTAATCCGTTTGACCTCAGGGCATGTTTGCAAATGTTTCATACAGTGATTTTCTATTTTGGTGCCTTGGGATCTTTCACAAAGTACCCATGCAGTGTTAGGACTGTTAGGTGTGCAGATCTGATTTACAAGATAAACCCAGGGATTTCAAATTGGAATCCAGAGTGTTAAAATCATTCTGTTCTGTTGTGGTTTTTCTGAATTACTTACAAGAGAAGAATTGCTCTAGTATTTTTCTGTAATCAAAAGCAGAGTGAATATGAAAAACTAACATTTTCTGAGGGGTGCCTTGAGTGTCGCAAGGGATGCCTTGAATCTAAAAAGGTTGAGAACCACTAGTTTAATAGTACTATCATACTGTATCTAGCCTAAGAGAGATTACTTTCACCTATGGGCCCTTTTCACTGCTTCTGAATGCTCATGAGATGTTTTTAAAAGAAAAAAGAACCATAACAGCATACTGGAAACATCAAAATTATCTATAAGCCTCAACTGAAAAGACAATGGCCTCATCAATGGTTAACAGACAACAACAGAGAAAGGTACTGAAGGTACTTGATGTAGGACAAGATTGGGAGGAGCTATCTCATGATAGATGAGAATAGAGGTGCATCATTGTACTATGCAATTCCTTATGGCTATGAGCACACAGTGGGCAGGGGCTGGCATTTTTCCCTCAATGGGTGGACCAGACTGGTGCTTAAGGCAACAATTTAACAGCGGCATTAGACAGATGGGCAAACTGTATGGGTCTTTGTCAAGCAGAGTCCTGGGGAGGGGCAGAGGTAACATTTGCAGTACTTCAGAGTGTTTCATGGGGAACCCTGCATCACTGCTGTGGCAAATGGGGAATGGCTTGTCTAATTCTCTAGAGTCACTTAGCTGATGGGCTTGAACACCTGGCCCCTTCCAAGTCTTCACAGCCAAGCTCTTGGCAGCTACAAGACCATGGCAGGGTATGTTTGCCTTTTCAGTCACCCCGAATGTGGTGAGTTTGGGGCCAGAGAAGAGCTAGCAGGAGGGGATCCAGGATCCACAGAAATAAACAGGACCGTGGAAACACTTTCCTGGGAGAGCAGATTGGAGAGAAGGGAGCTGGCCCCTAGCATCCAGCCCTGCCCTACTGCATCCTTCCTGTTGCACGAAGGGGCATTAGTTTATGCCGCCTACACAAGACCCCTCACCTCATGCCCTGTCAGAGACACGTCTGAAACGTTTTGTTGATCCACCTTAGTAAAAACATCTCTTGGGGGTTGTTGCAGTTGGGGAAATTGGGAACTGGCCAAGGATGTAGTAGACTCTGCCCACACTTGGAGCTGTCTCTGTCACCAGCCCCCAAGGGGAGCTTGTTCTGCTTCTCTACTAGGAAGACTTTCTGCCAACAGGATCTGGAGCAGAATCAGAGCAACGCATTGAGCCTCTGAATGAGCCGTTCAAGATAAACAGAGATCCAGGGCTGATTCAGGCTTCCCTTGTGCTTTGAGAGGCCAGGAGGCAGAAGGAAAAATCCATGACAAGCTTTGTGTGCAGGAGGGCTGGAAGATTTCAGACTATCCTCCCCTCCCCTGCCGGATGCATCACATATGAAAATTGTGGTTGATCACCAGAGGGCAGGGCAAGAGCACAGACTCTTCTCTCTGCCTGATACCCGGAAGCAAAGCTACTTTCATTTTTGAGGAAACAAAACTGAGCTGCAACCAAGCTCAGAAAGCATCTGGGTGCCCCAGAGGAACCTGCAAGTGCAGATCATGGATGCCACGTCTCAGGAGCCTCCGGCTGACCAGGATTCCTCAACCCCTGTAAGTTTGTCACCGTGACCGGACCTTCTGCTAGAGGCTCTTGCTTGGGGTTAAGGATCAAGCGGGTAGGTTAAATGTACAAAGATGAAGGAGGGGAAATAAGCTGCATCTGAGGCTGAACAGCTCCTAGGCCCTGGTTGCCTCATCTCCTTCTGTGGGTGGTGCTGTGGCTAGAGCATGTGCCATTACACTGGGGCGGGGGATGGGGCAGGGCTCCCCCCTGGGCAGCGGAGATGGCTGTAGCAAGTGTGTGGGGGAAGCCAGTATGGAAGGGGGCAGGGGAGGCAGAGACAACCAGGTGGCAGGGAGGTAGTGACTGGGCAACAGCCCTGTGAACTCCCCAGCATGCAGATAGCAGCGCAGGCTAGGAAACTGCCTCAATGATGCCCCAGGGCCCTCTTGCGGCCTTCTTCAAAGCACTGTCGTTGAGAGGAGGGCTGGTTTGGGAACTCGCCGGGGTGTGAGAAGAACTTGGCTCCACTTCCGGTGACTTGCACAGATACCGGGTGTGGTTCTGCACAAGCCATTCGGTGGATCTGGGCCTCCGTTCCCCTGGCAAACAAGAGGGCAAATGGTTCCCTACCTGATAGAGGCTCTGTGAGGATTTCATAGATTTTTATAGATTTCATAGACATTAGGGCTGAAAGGGACCTTACAAGATCATCAGCTCCAGCCCCCTGCCCAAGGATCAGGAAGTCAGCTGGGGTCAGATCACCCCAGCAAGATACACACCCAAGCATTTCTTAAAGGTATTCAGAGTAGGTGCTTGCACCACTTCTGGGGGGTCTATTCCAGGCTCTGGGGACTCGGACAGTAAAAATGTTTTTCCTTATTTCTAGTCTAAAATGGTCTTCCAGCAGTTTGTGACCTTGTCTTCCTTTGGGGTACCCTGGTGAACAGATGTTCTCCCAGTTCCCAGCGCACACCCTTTATATACTTACAGGCTGCCACCAAGTCCCACCTGAGCCTGCACTTCTCCAGGCTGAAGAGCCCCATTCCTCTCAGCCTCTCCTCATAAGGCCTGCTCTCTTGCCCTCTAATCATGCGTGTGGCTCTCCTCTGGACTTTCTCAAGCTTCTCCACATCCTGTCTAAATTGTGGAACCCAGAATTGGATGCAGTACTCCAGCTGCGGCCTCACCAAAGCCGAGTAAAGCAGGAGGATGTCTTCTTGGGTCTTGCTTGAGATGCATCAGAAGATGCAAGCCAGAGTTTTATTTGCTTTGCTGGCTGCAGCAATGCATTGGTGGGTCATGTTCATCTTACTGCCCTTCCCCATAATTTGGTGTCGTTTGTGAACTTAGCCAGTCCGCTCCTGACACCCGAATGTAGATCATTTATGCATATATTAAAGAGTACTGATCTGAGTACTGAGCCTTGTGGGGCGCCACCGGTCACCATGCTCCATGTTGACTCAATTCCATCAACTATCACTTTCTGGGTCTGACCACAGAAACAGTTCCTCAGCCATCGGACTGTAAAATTATTGAGGCTTCAGTCACCCAATTTTACCATGAGGACATCATGGGAGACCAAGTCAAAGGCTTTTTTGAAATCTAAATATATGACATCAACCTCTCCTCCTTTGAATCAGTCAGTGCCTGTGACCTACTTGGATGCTGCAGTAATGGGGGTGTGTGTTGAAGTTCTTTAGGGAGATGGCCTGAGGCTGGGTGCGATAGGGCTTTCAGCTTGGAGTCACCCCTCAAAGCCCCCTGTGAGTAAAGAGGCAGTATGATGCAGAGATGAAGAAAGGGGCATGTGCACTGTGGATGGGATGAAGACTGGAGGAGGTAGCTGATGTGAAACAGCTTAAAGGAGAAACAATGTGGTGAGCAGGTGGCTAGGGCAGAGAGAGAGGGGAAGTATAGATGGGAAGGGCTCTGGTTGTGTCAACATATGCATTTAGGCTAATATGCATTTTAGGTTAATGTGCATTAAAGCAATTTAGGCTCGCATCTGCACATGCACGCATTGAAGCGCGTCAATGCTGTGTGCACAGACTGACATGGGACTAAAGTTAGTTCCACTTCAGTCCATACACAGCATTAATGTGCCTTAATGCATCTACATGTGCATTAATGCACTTTAGCTCTTCATGCCTAAATTTGATACCTGCTTTTGCACATATCAAATTTAGCCATGAATAGCCTAAAAATGGCAATTTTTAAGGTGCATCAAGGGCCTTCACATGTATATATGCACCTTTAATGCACCTTAAATTGGGCTAAAGCGCTTTAAATCAGCACGTGTAGACATGCCCTGTGTCCTATACCCTCATGCTTGTGCCCAGCCAGTAGTCTGCTCCATCATGCTCTTTACATGCCTCTACCTCCCAAGCAGTGGTGGGAAGGACTAGCTACAGACTCTCACAACCAGGGTTTCCCTCAGCCATTGGACTCCCCAGTCAAGCTAGCTTTGGCTTGCTACATTGGGCCTTTCCAGATGTCTCTATTGCTTGGTATCCATCAAATGACCTTCTAGCAGCACTAGCAACACCTCTTTCTCCCTGCCCAATGGTCATCTCCCATTGGGATAATATCATAGTATGATTAATGCCAGGTATCTCTGTCCCTTTCTTCTCCCTAAAGGTGGTGGAGGAAGAGTTCCAGTTTCTGCTCTGTGAGGGATGCCAGAATGAATCCAGGGAGCCCAAGCTCCTTTCCTGCCTTCACACCTTATGCACTGGCTGTCTGCAAGAGAACAAGCCCATGGGCCAGTGCCCCATCTGCCGGGCTCCTATCTTGCAACCTAGTGGGATCCCAAACCAGGACAACCTGCTGTACACCAGTCTGCAGTCCCAGATGAAAACCTACCAGAAAATAGTCATGGGCATAGGCTTAGGGTGTGGCAACTGCAAAACAGAGGGGGAGTTCTGGTGCTCAGACTGTGAGGAATTTATGTGTCTCACATGCTTTAAGTTGCATCAGAAGTTCCTGAAGATGGAGAGCCATGAGGCCAGGAATGTGAAGGAACTTCAGGCTGGATCTCTCAGGGAGTTTCTTGAGGGTGCCCGGAAGCCCTGTAACTTGTTCTGCACTACACATAAGACCCAGATTGCTTGGTAATGTTTCCAACCTGGGATATTTTTTCTCAAGTCATACGTGGCAGGAATAGTTACAACATGCCCTGCTGTGGCAGAGCACAGGTTGTGCCTACCACTTTAAGAGGACTGAGCAGGCTGTGGAGCAGCCAGCAGGTACAAGGAGGCCTAATTAGGCAGTCACATGACTGCAAGCAGGCACCCTGGGTATAAGACCAGACCCTGAGGAACAGAGCTGGCAGTTACAATTGGGAGCTGAATGGTGGACATCTGGCTGGAGCTGCTGCTCCCAGAACACCTGGTGGTCAGGGTAGGGACTATGGGGATGGAGGAGGGTCCTGGTCCTGGGGAATGACTTAAAACTACACCCTACTCAGGCTGGATGGTGTGGTGGGGCTGCCTGTGGCAGGATGGTCTCCAGGAAATGCTACACCATTGCCTCCCCAGTGAAAGGTGAGGATGGGGCGCTGGATAGCCTCAGCTCCCATGACCTGGTGGGTTACCCTGTAGAGGGAAAGGGGAGGGGTCCAAGCACGTTATCAGACACCTGAGGTCAAAGGGGTGTAAGGCCTAGTAGCCCCAGTGAGGGGGCAGTATAGAATCTCCCAGCCCAGACCCCATGACTATGGAGCTTGGGCTGGGAGATATGGATCTCCTAGCCCCCACTCTCCGATGGGAATTGTGAATTGGTGGCTGGGAGATCCATGCTGCCGGGACAGGGGGACATTGTCCTCACCCAGGCTCCGGAGGTGGAGCCCACCCGAGCTGCACGCAGCTCCCGGTAACAGTGAACAATCTCCCACCCCCCTGCCTGGCTGACCAGGAGCACATTTGCTCCCAGTCGGCCATCTACTGGACTGTGCAGTAAATAATCAGGAGTAAATTTGCTACTTGTTTGTACAGGTAGCAAATTTACTCATGATTTGAGCAGATTACTGCACAGTAAGCATCTGCATGTGTAGACAGTGATGCTTATTGCACAGTAATTATCTCGAATCTTCAGTAAAGCATCTCGTGTAGATGAACCCGGTGGGTAGGAGTTTGAGGGAGGCAACGTGGGTCTCTAAATGCAGAGTCTGTTGAAGCCCAGCCTGGTTGAGCATCCCAAGTTACCCACAGTCTGGTATGTTGGTATTCCCATTAGGTCTTTATTGTCCATTCCCCCTCCCCACTTCTTCCATGAATTGGCTATGGGAAGGGTGTCTTGAGACCACCAACAACATGGAGGAATCCAAATCCAAATGAGTGTTCTAAACTGTACTTTTTTCCACAGCATCTACTGCAGCATCTGTTGCAAGCCAAAGTGCCTCATCTGTGCCCTCCTGGATAGTGAACATAGGGGTCAGTGTTGTGATATCAAGGCGGAGATCCTGCGGAGGCAGGAGGAGCTGGGGAGCATGACTGAAGAGCTAAAGCAGAGGAAGAGCCACTATGAAAATGCCTGCAACACCCTCCAAGGCAAAGAGAAGCAACTGAACCAGGTGTGGAAGGAAACTCGGGAGCTGATCCTTAAGAAGGTAGAGGAGATGGTCAAGCTGATCCGTGATAAGGGGGAGGAGCTGTTGGACAGGGCAGAAAGGCAGCACCATGAGGGGCACCAGGACCTGAAGGGGAAGATGCAGCACATGAGAGCCATGTTCATGAGGATGGAGGCTGGAGAGCAGCTGGTGGATAAGATGCACCTCTATGCGTCGGACCAGGTGGTGATGGACATGCACCCCTTCATCAAGCATTCCTTGGTGGAACTCCAGAAACAGCCACCCCTGACAGTGGCATCTGATGTCCAGGTTGGAGACTTCTCTGAGTGCAAAACCCAACTCGAGGCCCTCGTTGAACAAGTGATGGGGGACCATGGTAACTAGCTTCCTTTGACATGCCAATAGGCCTCGGAGGTGTTTGTGGTGGACATGGTACCATCATTACCCCTGAGTACTGTCGTGATGGGATAGAGTGAGTCTGTAGACTCCATTGCTATATGATGGGGCTGTAGCATAATTATCCAGCTACATATATTATATTGGAAGAGGGGTGGAGAACACTGTCCAAGATATGGACTGTGATTGTGCACGTGCAAGGACCTTCAGCAAGGGGATAGAAAACTTCTAGAATACAGAGTAATTCAAGGGCTGCTTGGACCATGGGGTGGCAGGTGGACAAATCCATTGAATAGAAGATGAGCATCAATCCTGCAGACTCTTAGGGAAATTTTTCTAGCCTGGGCTGTGCAGGAACTCTGACTACATGAGTGTAATTGTTCCTTCTGGCATTATATTATCTTTCCTAGTGATCACTTCCTGTTATCCAAAATGTATGACTTGGTCTGCTTGCGGTGCACATTCTCCAGAATAGGCTGAATGGCAAATAAATTATTCATATTAGGGGTGTGCAAAACAGGCCCTATTTGATTCAGATTTGGATTCAACCTGAGTCAGGGACAGTAATTCTATTTGTTGATTCGGATCACTCCCTGATTCGATTCAGCCGAATCCAAATCCAAAGATTCGATACTGATTCAGAGAATCAGTGATTTGGACATAGACACAGTTTTAAATGTTTTTTCTACATACCTTGAGGTAGCAGCGCGTCTTGTGAATGCTGTGATGCTGGTGTGCATGGAGCACATCCCACAGGGGCGCGGGGTGGGGGCGGGGGGCGCTGTTTGGCAGGGAACCCAGAAGTGGACTGGAAATACTTCCTGTCCACTTCTGGGTATGCCAGGGAGCGCGCTTCCCCCCCCCCACCTCCCCAGCTCTGCAATCGGCCACGGGGGACCCCAGATGCCCTCCCTCCGACCCAGGAGGCACCGTTGCCAAGCCGGAAGGGTTTAGGGGGTCCCCCAGCACGCTTCCCAGTGGACCTGGAAGTGGACCAGAAGTATTTCTGGTCCACTTCCGGGTCTGCTGCAGAGCACGCTGGGGAACCCCCTGTGCTTCTGTGGGACACTCCATGAGCCCCAGCATTGCAGCATTCATGAGCCACCCGGTATCTAGAGGGATGTAGAAAAAACATTTTAAGCTGTGTCTATGTCCGAATCGCTGAATCTTTCTAAATCGATTCAGAGAAATTAAAGGATCCTCTGATTTGATTCCAATTCAAAGATATGACCACCGAACCAGGCTGAATCTCCACCGAATCGAATCAGGGACCAAAGCTTCGTACAACCCTAATTCATATATAATTCCTCCAAAACAAATGTTGAGTTCTGTTCACTGAGCAGTGGGAGTTCATTAGCCATGTGCATTTGGAAAAATGTGAGGTGCCCATGAAAATACTTGTGAATTCTTATTGGTCCTGAACTTCCAGCATAACAGTTAGTTGTCTGAAAAACAGGCCTGTATAATGGATGATTTCTTATTAGTGATCTTCCTTATTCCAGAAGTGTTTTACTTATCCAATCAGGAAATGTGCCTCAGGTGACCAATCATATGACAGGAAAAAAGGATAGCAGATAGTTTCAGCAAAACATTAGTGAAGGATCTATGATCTAAAAGTAAGATTGAAGTGTTGTTGTACCTGTGATGGGCCAGGAAATACGTAAGAAGCCAGGGCTTTTTGGGTGACTTCTTTTGTTGGATCAACTGTGTAGCTGAGGGAGATGTTAGACAAGCTTTTGGGCACAAATGGCCTTTCTTGGGTCTGCAGCCCAAAGACACTACTAGTTGTGGAATGACTTGCTAATCCAAAAAGGGCTAAATCAAATTTTCAGACATAGATGCTTTCCTTTGGCTACTCTGAATCTAATGCTCAGTGTAAAATAAACACTTGGTATTGCCCATTGGGACAGAGTTTTGGCTCCCTCCCCAGGGGAGCACAAAACTCACAGGTATATTTATTACAGACTTCTTCCTTTGTGCCTCAACCCTGGATAACATGAGTGCGATAGAGCCCCAACTTGAATGTTAGCCCCAGCTGTAGCAGGAGTTAGCTCAGTCTTCAGTGTGCAGGCTAAGAGGGCAGCTATCCCAACTGCACAGGGAAAAGGGTGCCTCTAAAATGTCCAGAAAGTAGTAGCCACCTCTGGAGTGTTTCCCTGTAAGATGTGTCTACTGTGGGAGAAGCATACCTGCTCACTTTGTTGGAAGGGAAGTTAGAGAGATGTGATAGTGCAACATACTTGTGTATGTGACACATGGGCAGCCCTACCACAAGGAAGAACCAGCCCTGGTCACGTGCATGATGAGGTCTCAGAGCAGTGGCCCCATGAGAATTCGATGTTGGTTACTGAGTGAGAACGAAGGAGTGCAGCTATGCAGTAGGAAGTACTGGGGCAGATGCTCACCATCCCTGCAATAAATACACAGCTCTTGAGACAGCTGGTTGGGGAGTGTAGGGTCCCTGTGTAACCACCCAGGATGTGACCCTGCTGAAGGGAATTCTTTTCAAGACCGTGATGGGCATGGGGATGCTGGGCACCAGTGACATAGCCTGCAGCTTTAGAGCCTTGTTCCTCATGTTGCTTTTGTGTCCCTCACTGCTTAGGAGATACCATCAAAGACGGCCGGCCTCTGGTGTAATCATCTGGACGGTAACTGCACAATGTGCCTAGGGTTTCCCAGTGGGAATCTCCATGCCCTCCTTACCTCAACCCTATCTCCACATTCCCACCACTTTGGCAAGCAGACACCTGGGCATACTATGCTCCTCCATGTCTAAATAAATGGATCAGGTGGCACATCATGTGGACCTCCTCAGCTCCTGATTCTCCCTCTTGTGTCCCCTTCTAGCAGGTCCATCTACTGAGTCCCAACAAGATGGGAACACACTGGTGTTCAGCCTGGAGTGTTTGTATGCTCCAGAATCTCCTCCACAGCATACCCATCTCCCTGTTGATAGCAATGAAGAAGGATTGCTTGCCCCTCAGGACCCCTCACACCATCTCCGTTCTCCAGCTGTGCTCCCTACATCAGGCACTAGGGATACTGGAGGAGATGCTGATCCAGGTAGGGCATATGGCAGTGCTCTAGCCCAGTCAACCCTGAACTCAGGTATGGTGCAAATCCTTAGGGAAAAGGTATTTCACCAATTGTTGAGGGGGAAGACATGGTGATCCAAGGAGGCACCTGGGACATGGTTGTCTCCACGCAGGATCATTTTGCTGACCAGGCCAGGATGAATGCATAGTAGGCAGAGTACTTCCTAGTGTGAGGCACCAGCAACTCTTGGTCCCTCCTTAACTACAAGGACCAGTTCATAAGTGGGCAAAATATGGCCTGTGGGCCATATGCATCCCACCAAGGGATTCTATCTGGCCCACAGTGGGTCCTTTGGCCCCGCCTGGCCTAGGTGTGGGGGCAGCCCGGGCCATGGTGTGTGTTGCCAGTCCTGCTGCCCCTGGGTGTATGCCAGGGCTGGGGCAGTGCATATGGTGGGGCTGGGGCAGTGTGGCAGCTGGATTCAGCTTCCCAGCAGCAGCAGCTCCTTCCAGCTGCCACAGGCAGTAGTGACACCGCTGCTGGTGTCAAGGGTGCGCTTGGCCGGGTAGATACGACAGGACTGCGGGTGGGCCAGGAGCAGTGTCCAGGAAAGGGGTGGGCAGGTGGGGATTGGGGCCAAGGCTGGGATCATGAGGCAGTCATGGTACAGGGCCAGGGCCTGAAGAGGAGCTGTGATCTGCTCCCCACACGTCCTTGCCTGTGGAACCGGTGGGCTCACCAGAACTCCTTAAGTGGCCCTCCAGCCCCCCAAAATTGCCCACCCCTTCTCTATGGAGTGTGACAGGGAAGGCTTAGTCCTCCATGTCTTTTCACTGCTCTGTGACCAGTCTCTCCATCTGACTCCTCTTTCAAAGAGTCTTGAGATCTAGTAGGAAAGGACTGATGTAAGAGCAGGGTGTTGTTATGAGACAGCTGCTGTTGTTCCCAGTCTTTCAACCCATTTATCACCAATGTCTTTTTTTGCCTTTTCTAGAAGTGTCCCCTATGAGCTCTCCAGAGATTTCCAATGAGGTGAGGCTTGCTTTTGTACTGGGGATGTCATGGGCATCCCAAAATAGTGTGTGAGGGTGGGTGAGGGTTGCAACTTTCCTGGCACTTCTGGCAGGAATTCAAGGCCAGATGCCAACAAGAATGATTTGCTGGAAGGGACGTCTAAATGGTTTATACATTTTACTAGATCTGTCTTATTTGAACGCGGATGATTTTAATACGTGGCCCCCTTCGGCTCCTCAGCCATCCCTTTCCCAGTCACTTGAGCTTAGATCTTGGAACCATTCTTTTTGCTGGTGGGCACTTGAGCCAGTGGGCCTACTCATGTGAGTGAGAGCTCCCCAGCATGAGGCAGGGTACCAGAGCCTTGCCTTCATGACCAACCAGTCTATCCCTAACCCCGCCATCAAGTTCAGATGTAGGAACATCACTGAGAAATAGGGACATATGGGCAATATATATGCCATAGGCTACCATCAGCACAGTGTAGAGATTCAGGAGCGGTTCTCCATTAGGTTGACCTCCCACAACCTGCCAAGTGGAGACCCATAAACTTTAATTATGCTTGATAGGTTGACTCATAGAAAAAGTGAGCACCAAGAGGCAGAACTTGGCTGTACATTGGCTTCATACAAGCAGATGGCATCTAGTCACTGTTACCACAGAGGCCACCCAGCTAAACAGGGAGGCTCGTCTGGGCAGGGCACAAAGAAGCATAGGAAGCCAGCTGTAGGACTGCTGAAATACAGATGCACCCACACAAACACCACAGCCAGGTCCCATATAGAAATAATTCTGATTTGAGCAGCAATATGATCTCCTGGGCAATTTGCCACATACACTGGAGTAAGAAGTCACACCATGTGTCTGCAAATCTTGATATTCTGGTGCAAGTACATCCACACTGCTGTAAGTAGCTGGTGAAGACAAGTTTTGACTATGCAGAGGGTATGATTCCATGCTGCATCCTTCTGTGCTTGGTGGAGGCCAATGGAGCAACACCAGTTCACTGTGCACCTAGGGTTTTGTCCAGGAGCAGAGAACATCTGCACCTGACTGTCTGTCTGGCTGTCTATTCCAGCCCAGTCCTCAAATTGGAATATATCACTACATTTTTTCTTTTGTGTCTCCAACTGTGGAAAATACCTATTATTATCCATCCACAAAGATCTGGTCCCACATCCCCTGCTGATGTTATTCTCAGGAAGAACACTATGAGCTTTTAATGGTCCACTTTCATTGCTCAGGCCCATTTCTCATCTTCCATCACAAAGAGGAAAGGAGGACAAGACACAGAAATCCCATCATCCCCTGCAAAGTTTATTAAGACTGAAGCAGATGATGGCAAATGGGAAAAATGGGCCAGAGAGCCCAACCTGGAACAACCAGGGACCAGTTCCTCAACAGGAAATGGATCTGGCTGGATGGCTAATAGTGCTGGTGCAGTGAAGGAAGCTGACTTGACAGAACCCCTGGAAAATAACATCCCTCAAGAAGGTAAGCAGAGATTGCCAGGGTCTTGCAAGGGTTTCAAATGGTGGTTCTGTAGCAATGGAACTACAAGGGGATTCCTGAACTAGATGTGGACTCAGTGACACGTATATCTGGTAGGAAATTCAGTGACTTTTCTGATTTTGTAAAGGGGCAGATGCTCCACAATGTGTGACTTTGTTCAAAAAGGGAACAAAATATGGTTCGGTTAAGATAGTTTTTTTGCCATTTGAAACGTATAGATGAAATTCTGTGCTTTTTCAATTTTGCAATAGTAAAAGATACCAGGGTATGTATATACAGACAGGTCAACAAGATGTAAGCAACAGTGTGAATATACAGCTTGTCAGCTGTGTACATGACCTTACCCTATGGTGAATGCAAGGAGGCTTGCTCCAGGTTCACTGATGGGGTGCCCATGCCCTCTAGCACAAGCCAGACCCTGATGTGTCTTTTTCTGTACTGCAGTTACTCTCATTACCATTTTGGAGAGTTCTGAAGAGGATGACAGTGATGAAGAGTCAACGGTGAGTGTGCTCGAATGCTGTAACAGGATGATAAGATGTTTCAGGACCCAGAAGGGGCTGCTAGGTCTGCTTGGCAATGAGGTGCAGGTAGGGGGAATTGGGTCTCTGGACAGATCTCCATCTGGGAGCATTTAAAAGGGGCCTCAGCTGAGAGAATGAGAGACTTCAGAAGTGTATTGTTTCAGGGAGAAGCTGGAGAAAAATTGAGGCCTGAACTTAAGGGGCAAAGGCATTTTATTTTGTGTCCTTTGTTGAGGGGAGAACATAAGAATAGCCACTTACTGGGTCAGACCCTAGGTCTCTCTTTTACCAGTTGCCTGTGTCAGAGCAGCAGAGAGTGAATGCTTAAAAGGAGAATGAACTTGTGTATGACCAGGGTTTTTCTCTCTATTCCTCTCTTACTTGCAGCCTCCAGGATTTAAGGTCTAGGACATTTTGATTCAGAGGTTGTGCCCCTGACTCCCGTGATCGATAGCTACTGATGCACCTTTCCTCCAAGAATCTGTCCAATCCCTTGTCGAATCTGGCTAAACTGTCAGCATCCACAGCATCAGTTGGCAATGAGTTCCACACTTTAATTGCACACTGTGTAAAAAACAACTTCCTTTTGTTAGGAGGACAAACAAATTTCTCACCAATTTATTGGGAAAGAACTATAGTTTGGCTCAGTTTACTGCATCACAAAGATAGGATCACATGGACTGTGGCAGTGCAATTTAGCAACACGTAGAGCCGAGCACAGCACTAGTGAGGACACTGTTCCGCGGGTGTAGCTTTGTAGTATGGAAGCTCATGCCTACGTGAGGCAGGCCCAGAGCTTAGACCTCAGATATAAATCACCCAAGTTAACCTTTGGGTGAGGACTTCCTTGGAATTGAGTTTGGCAACTAACTCCCATTGTCTGGTGGTTATATTTGTCCCTCCTTGTGGGACCTGAGATATCTGATGACTCTTTAGCCACACAATACTCCTATACAGTTGTCCCTTGTGCAGATGGGCAAATGAGACAGGGTGGTTGAAGGTCACAAAGGACGTCTGTGGCAGGACAGAGACAGTTCTCCAGTGGCCACTACTACCACTGTACTCAACTGAAGCATCCTTCCTTTCTCACCCACTCGCATCCCTTGAGGTGGTCACTCTAGGTCTTTACTGAAACACCCAGGTAGGGCCACCTGAAGTAATCTTGGAGAGCCCCAGATATCTTGCTTCTATTTCAGTGATACCAGATCTGGTTTCCAGATCTGTTACCCTGGCATCATATAGCCTTTTCCTTTTCCAGAGCTCTAGTCTACCAGATGACACCAGCAATATCTCTTTTAAAAGCCATGAGGGGGATCTCCCAGTCATTCTCGATGACCTTCTACCTGAAGAGTTTGACACAAGACAAGGATCACTGCTGTTCTTTGACCTGAAGCTCCTACGTAAGATCCCAGGAGCTGCTAACTACTTTTGGGAAAGGGAAATGTGTATCCCGATCACAAATCCATGTTGGCTAGATCTCAGCATTTAGCTGGAGCCCTGTGTTGAGTGTGGGAATTTCCACAGATAGCCCCCTGCTTACACAGAATGGACAGTCCTGTGAAGGTGCCAACTCTTCCTTTGACAAAGCCAGGTAGCGCAGTTGTTAGGTAGAGCAAGAAGAACTGGGGGAACATGAATATATTCCTTTAAGTTTATTCAACCTGCCTGGCAGCCTGTAGGCCACCAGTGCATGTTCCCCAGGACCATGCAGGGTTGTGGATCTATGATCCCAAGATGTCTTAGAGAGACCATTCACTTTCTGAAGTGATATGTATGAGTGAACTAATGCCTGCTTTTCAAGCACCTCAGGTGCTTGAGTATCAGCATACTTTGCACACTCAGGGATTCTGGTTTGAAATATGGAAGGGGGAAGCTTTGGTTGAACTTTGGAGGCATAGGGACATGCAGTAGGTAGTGTACATGGGAAGGATTAGTTAAAAGACCCATGAATAATTCAGGCTAGGCTCAGATGTCTGAAACGGATGGGGTGCTTGGGTGAAGGCAAGGAGTAGACAGATGGTGGTACAGATCACCAGCTGCCCCTGACTGTTGTAGCTTATTTAAATCCATAGAGATTCCCTGCTCAGGATCTTGCTCTGTGTTTTACTGTCCTCCTGTCCTTAATCCCCAACAGGTAGTCAAATCACTCAGCTGGCTGTGGTAGATGGAAGCAAGAAGTTTATCATCTTGATTCAACCACTGAAATCTTTGCCTGACATGATTGAAAAAGGGCTCATCTGTGAAACTGGCATGAAGCCCTTTCTCAGCCACCTGCGCACTGTCCACAAGCCCATCCTTGTGGGATTTGCCTTCTGGTCACTAAGCTTCCCCATCCTGTTTAAAGCCCTGGATACTCTTGGCATGGGAAGGGAATTCCGTGAGACTGTCTTTGGCTTCTTGGATGTTTTGCCCTTGATTAAAGAGAAGATCCCCAAAGCTGGGAGTTACCACCTAAAACACCTGGCTAGCAATTACCTCTGGAAACAGTTAAATGAGCTCAGTGCCTTGGAGGCTGCTGAGGCTGTAAAGGACCTGTGCACCGTCCTAGAAATTGATGCAGTGCAGGAAACAAGGTCTGTGCTCAGCTACTCCAGCCTTGAATGCTATGCTTCACTTCAACCCTTGATGAAAGAGAAACTGCTCACGAAGCCTTCCTCACAGACACTGGCCAGGCACAATGTCAGCCTTTCCGTGCTGTCTTCTGTATACTGGAAGGATCCAGTGAGAGGTCTGCAGAACCTGTGCAGGTTCCTTAATTATAGGCAGCAAAATGCAGGTAAGATCAGAAACCTGAGCAAGATCAGAGTCTATTTCCAAAGACAGAACCAGTCAGCTGGTCATCAAGAAATCACAGCACCAGTAAAGTGTGAACAGGACAATTGAGTGTCATCTACAATTGACAGGTATATCTATCAAAGTCTACAATGAATGGGCACTGTGTCCTGGAGCCAAACTCTGGAAGTGCTCAGGAGGTTCAAATCCTAGGTTTCCCATTTGGCCCATTATTAAGATTGGGGCATCACAGGGTACCGTGTCAAGGTTGGCTATAAAACCCCTGGAGACCAAAAAATGTTTCCTTTACCCTGATCTATGGGCAGTCCATTGTGCCCTTGCCTGCAAAACCTTGAGGTTAATTGTTATTAAAATGTTGAAAGCTGCCCTGGTCTTATTCTAATGACTAGCAGGTTTGTGTTCAAGGCCTTATGGGCCTCTCATGTAACCCCTCCCTGGGCTGCCAGGCCTCTCTGGTTTCTCCCCTTCCTTTTTTGTTAGGGTATGGTCCCTTAGCCTTTCCCCTCCACAGGGTAACCCAAAAGTCAGTGGGAGCTGAGGCTTTAGACACCCCTTGCTTAACTTTCCCTGAGGGGGTCTATGAGTGGGATGTCATGCAGACTGTCCTGCCACAGGCAGCTGCACCATGCTAACCAGTCCCAGTTGGGTGCCGTTTCAGGTCTTACCCAGGAGAAGTCTCTAGGCCATCTGGATCTAACTCCTGGTCCATCCTGGGATCCCCCCTGATGTCAGCCTCTCTTGGCATACAGCCGCCCATTCTTTGCCCCTCTTGGCATACAGACTTCTGGGCCCCTGGGCCTAGCTTGATCTCACCTCCAGGCCCCCTGGCCCTGACACCCTCTTTCTCAAACCCCTTTTCCTCAAACCCTTCAACTCAAATGGCACTGGTCTAGTCATCTTCATCCCGGGTCACATGGCTTTTGACCCTTTCCTCTCTGGCTGTGGCCATGCATGGACCTTTGGCCCACTCTGACCTCCCTCCACTCTGACAGTCTCTGCAATGGTCTGTATCAACCTTTTGACCCTTCTTGGGCCTGGCCCTGCATGGACCAGTTGAGATTTTGAGGGTCATTTCTCCAGCTGCCAGCCCTCTCACCTATGGGTCCACCCTCTCAGGCCCCTCCATAGATCTCTCATGCTCAGCCTCTCTGTCTGGGGCTTACCCAGACCCCTTTATAGGTCCACTACCCACAGCCCCTCTCTCTGGGCTCACCCAGACCTGTCAATAGACCCCCAGACACTCAGCCCCTCTCACTGGGTCTCCAGGAGCCTCCTCTACCCCCAGAACTCCTTCCCAAAGCCCAAGACTTTTCTCTTCTCTCCTTGATGGCATTCAGGAGTTGCAGCCTTCCTGCTGGACAGTTTTCCCTGGCTAGGTGCCAGGATCTTACTGCCCACTTCAGTTAGGGTCTGGGTTATTTGAGCCCTTCTCCCTGCTTCCCAGATGGGACCAGGGACCTGAGGAGCCAAGTCCTTCTGAGAAGGTCTGAACACCTAGCTGGTGCCTCTGCATGTGAATCAAGATCCCTGGAGGCAGAGGTAATAGGGGAAGGCTCTTGCCCATTGCTTGCATACTGGGATCTGGAGGTAGCCTGACCCTTTTATGCTGTGGTTCCATCGGTCTTCTCCTTATATTTAAACCTCTGAAAACCAGGCACACCACACAACATACCACCTCTCTATGTGCTGGGGAATTGGCCAGATGGAAGGCAGAGGGAGCCAGCTTTTGCTGCAGGAGGAAGACGAGGAGGGAACAGTTGGACCAGGGACACGGCAGGAACACCTGGCCAAAACAGGGCTCGGGCCCCAGCTGGGTCAGGGGACAGAGGCTGGGAGACCTTATTTTATGTACAGCTCTGGCTCCATAACCAAAGAAGCATTTGACTCTTTAGTAACCTGCTGTTTGCAATAATTATAGCAACAGATGGCATCTGATGACAAAGAGTGTCTCTGTACTCCATTGGGATGCTCCTGTCTTTGCAAGATGGGAAAGGCAGAGGAGTGAGCTGGAAATGGTGTTGGAGGATGGCTTCCATATTGCAGGGTGGGGTGGGGTAGGCCTCAAAGAAGAGAGACCCCTCTCCCTGCCTCCATACTTAGATTTGCTGTAACCTCTATGGAATAATAGCATGGACCTCATGGAACAAGCTAAGCCTGTCATGTCTTTCACTGGTCCCTGTTAGCAATCTGAATAATGCGGAGCCAGAATCCTCATCCTACTGTTGCACAAGGACATGAGAGTGGAAGAGCACTGTGGAATCACATACAACAGCATCTTCTGCTCTGAATATGGACAATAAATTCCTTGAAAGAGAATTTCCATCTCTTCTCCATCACTCACTGGTATTTGTAAAGGGCCATATACCTCTACTATATTATGTGAGAAATAAAAGAAATTCATAATTTGATATGCATCCAGATGAATGCTCTTTTGCCCTCTGTTTACAAGACTGCTAGGATATCCTTTTATGAAGGAGGCTGCCTTGGATACTGACGTAAGTCTTGCTACTTCTCTGCTTCTCACAAGAGGGTACTGATGAATATGAAAAGCAGCTCTGAGAGCAGTCCATATGTACCTGGTCTCAATGTACACAGGGAAAGCCCATAAAAATCAATGTGATTTGACAACTGATTTCTGTTCTATGTCTCCACCTTACCATAAGCCTCTACCATTGCTGGAAATATCTTTTCACAGCAGACATTTAGAAATTGAATCAAACCCCAGGTGAACAAATTGCTAAGAAAAGGGCTTTGGAAATCTTTGGACATGGATTAGTGGGCTTGTCTACATGTGTATTTACTATGCAGTAAGTTACTGCGGAGTAAGTGGCTTTTGGATTGGTGTCTACATGTGCAGGTATTACTGCGCAGTAACGCTGTGTGTACTTGGACTTGGGAGTAAAGTTACTCCTAAATTGGAGCGCACACAGTGTTATTGTGCAGTAAGGTGTCTATACGTGTCTTACTGTGCAGTAACTAAGTGGCTGTATATTTGCTACCTGCACCAGGCAGGTAGCAAATTTATGCCCAACTCAGCATAAGTCACCCTAGTTTCTGTGCAGTATGGGTGTGTACATGTAGACATGCACCCATGCTGTGTGGTAGTTTTCAGTTACTGCACAGTAACCTAAGTTACTGCAGTAACTGTGCACGTGTAGATGCACCCAGTATGGCTTTATTCTATACTCATGTGCTGGATTTCAGGGACATTATCTAGGGGACCATTCTTCCCTCTTCTCCCATTTCTACAAACAGTTTGTCAATTGCTTAAGTTTTACTCCCATGAGTAGTCCTCTGCCAGCAAGTATTAAGCCATGACTCTCTAATCCTCAGTGCAGGGGTAGAGAGCACACATCCACAATGATTGACCATTTGGAATATTAGCCCTGGTAAGTGAATACTACCTTTACCTGCTTTATCTGGATGCAGATATATATATCTCTATATATATAGATATATATACATATAGATCCAGATCTTAAATTTAGCAATGGGGGACCAATCCCGGTGAGGCCAGTTGCTTATCTGGAAACACCATCATGGCAATCTGAGTTTCTAAAGTTTTAAACCCACAAAACAGCCTGAGGCTGTCAGAAGGCATAGGGAATCTGATGTGGACACAGAGAGAAGGCTACAAGAAGTAACATGATCTTCTATTTGTTCAAGGTGTTGGCAGGAGCAGTTGATTTGACACTTTGTATGGTATCGTTACACACTTTTTATTGTCCTGTTGACTGTTATTCTTCTACATGCACTCAATATTGTCATTGCCAGTCCCAAATGTGTTTAATCTGACTGAGTCAAACCAGAATGTAGCAAACACACCAACAGTTAGTGTCCAAGCCAGAGGGGGAAACATAGTGGAAAACAGCTCTCATGAGTTCCTCAAATGGAGCCTTAACCAGTCTTCATCAGAGAGTCTGGCATGTGTGTGGGTGGGAGCAGGACAGAGCATAAGGGAGTCCTTAGGGATCCTGAAACCCTAAGACTGGGAGAAGCCAGTGCATGAATTCTCTAATGCAGGGGTTGGCAAACTACGGTCCATGGGCTAGATGTGGCCCATGGAGCTTGGAGTGCTTCTGCAGCATTTTAGCCGTGGGGCCTTTGGCAGCTAAGTGGTGGGGAGAAGCAGCAGCACCAGCACTGTGGGGGTGAGCAATTGTTGTGGTGGTGGTAACGTGAGCTGAGTTGGAAATGGTGCACATTCAGAGCTATGCTCTGTTAAAGCAGCACCCCCCCTTTCAAAATGTTGCTGATCCCTGTTCTAGTGGGATTAACAATCTGGCAGCTAAAGGCAGTATTCACTTACCAGGACTAATATTCCAAGCTGTTGATTATCATGTGTGTATGCTGCCCCCTCCCTGCATGGGGGATTGGAGAGTCATGGCTTAAACCCTGATCCTGCAGACCCTTGATGGCAAAACCATACTAATCCATGCCCAGGGATTTCCATAGCCCTTTCCCTAGCACTCTGCTTACCTTTGCTAAGGGAGATCCATTCTCCTCTAGCACAGTTGCTTCTTCTTTTGCATACTTCATTTTCCCCTCTCCACATCATTAATGTGGCAGAGCTACACAACTGCTTTATCGTTGACACTTAACAGGTCCTCATCTGGGTACGTGGGTGTGCTACACACATGAGGAGGTGGTCAGCAGTCTGTGGTGCTTTACTACACTCACATATTGAACTGGCCACATCAAATGCTTAAAGCTTGTTTTATGTATTTTAGCTAGGTTGTGAGCAATTCCTAGAAATCTGTGTTTACAGAGCAAATTACACCAGTCACAGGTCCTTGTTTTATGGGATTATCCACACGTTGCCTTTTATAGCATTGTTTCCTCATTAGCCAGTCGGAACCCAGCACTCGCCAACATTCTGGAAAAAGCCTTTGTTTGGCAAGGAACTCTTGTCTCCTGTAGCTTAGATCACCAAAGGCATCCCGTTGGAGGAATTTCCTTCTAAGCCAGTTACCCGTTCAGCTGATCTCTCCAAAAAGACATCTCAGGTACCATTTTAGCTATGTCTTTCTCTGCAGTGAGAGAGAGAGAGAGGCTAGATGGGTGATCCCATAGATGCCTAAATAACTGTCCTGGTCTCTATCTAAATGAATCTTTAGACAGGTCTCTTTACTGATTACTCTCCAGATAGAGAGATACAGTAATACTAGTAACTCTCATTATAAAACCCATGTGACTACATTCCACGAGCATAATTGAGCTACACTGGGCGCATCTCCATGTGTGCATTTACTGCACAGTAACTGAAATTACTGCACAATATGGGCACACATCTACACGTGCACACCTGTAGTGCACAGTCAATATGGTGACTTATGCTGACTTGAGCATAAATTTAATACCTGCATGATGCAGGTATCAAATTTTCACCCAATTAGGTACTGTGCAGTAATATGTGTAGATGCCTTACTGAGCAGTAACACTATGTGACTGCCTCAAGACTAACTTTAGTCTCAATTCAGACCACACACAGCATTAATGAGTTTTAACACCTGCACATATAGACACTGGCCTATTCCCAGTTACTCACAGTAACTTACTGCAGAGTAAATTGTAGCTGGTGTAAATGCACATGTAGACATGCCCATTATGTGGTATTTGCTGTGGGGGAATGAGTCCCATTTAGCTTGGCTTTATTGGTGTATTTTAAAAATGGATTTCTCCTACTGAAAAATAAAAAATTGCTTGGTGAGAAGGGTCTGTGACTACGTAACTTACTGGTAAGTGTATATAATATGGAATGTACTGTCTCCACCTTCTCCCCTGTTATGGGTAGATCCTACTGAAAGGAGGCAGTGTATCCATGCCTGATCTTAGGCTAATTTATGCTAAGTGAAGGCTGCAGACTGGCTAATAATACCACTTCATAAGTTATTTTATATGTTTTAAAGTGGCATCTACAAGTTAACTGTGAGTACAGTATTCATTGTGTTGGACATTGTACAAACACAGTAACATACAGCTCGAAACAGACAAAGGGTGGAAGGGGAAACGAGATACAGAGAAAGGAAGGCCTAATCCTCAAAGCTCCTCAGGGACCTAATTCTCACTGAAACCACTGGGAGTTGGTACCTACATACCTTTGAGGAGCTGGACCAATGTACCTTGCTCAAGGTGACATACACAAACCAGGAGGAAACCCACATCTTTTGAATAACGTTCTACAGGCACTCTAGCTTATTTTTAGCTGCTAGCTACTGGGATTTAAGAGGAAGGCTTACCTGGGGTCGATTTGTTAGGTCATGCTTAGTGACATGCCCATGAGCTGTTCTGAAACAGCACTTGCTGTGTTCCTAATGCCAGTAAGGTTCAAAGGAAGATTCTTTGTTAGTTCATTCCAGCATCTCCAAACATGAAATATGTGCTGAAACTCATATGTAATTTACTGTGCTTTGTTCTTCCCTATCAAAGAATAAGAACAATGTTCTCCACATATATAATGCCCCTATCAAAGTGACTTCTGGGCTGGCTGGCAAAGTAGAGTGACATAGAGAAACATAATAATGGGCACGTCTACATGTCACTGTACAGCGATGTTGCTATGGCACTGTGCTTTAGCACTTCCTTTTGGAAGTACTAAAGCATGGTGCAGTACAGGTGGTTACTGTGCCATGTGCATGGCACATGGTTAGATTTCACTGCTACGTCATCGTAGCAGGGTGCTATAATTGGGGAGTGTGCTGCTATGGCGACATAGCCAACAATTATGTATAGACCCACGTGATTGCTACATCACTGTAGGATGACATGTAGATGTGCCCAATGTGTTAGCGTTTAGCATAATCTTAAAAAAAAAAGTTAACTTTCATTAGTTCACACGTTGTTTCCTTGTTGGAAGAAGAATAGGATTCTTATTTAGATTATTTTTTGCATAAAATCCCTTGGATATTCATTACAGTGGATAAACATATCTCTCTTAGTCTCCATCTACCCAGTGGCTATGCCTATGGATGAAATTCTGATTTCATTGATGTTAAGGGGAAACTCTCACTGGCTCCAAAAGAGCTGTGCTATACGTTGGCATGTGACCTAGTGTGATATAATTGGTTTCTTATACCTCCATGTCAACAGCACATAGGTTACCACATCTCACACAGTGACTCATTTATCACTTATTTTGTTTTGCTAGATACAGCCACGGGCTCAAGAGCAACAGTATACAAGACCCAACTTTGTCATGAGCTCTTCTGTCCAGTTGGGTTGATCTCATAAAGAAGCTGAAGTCCTCAAATGATTGTGCTGAGCATCCCTACACTAACAAGCAGAAGGGGTATGTGTTAGGCAGAGATGCACAATGGAAAAGAGAAGGTCCAACTACCATGAAATAAGGTTAGAACCTCATCTGGTGCAATTCAGTGGCCTGTGTCCTCCACTGGTGCAAACTGGTGGAGCCCAGATGAATCCAGCAGGTCAGATCCTCATCTGATACAAAACAGTGTAGCTCCATCAAATTCAGTGAAGCAATGTCTATCTGCACCAGATGAAGATCCAGCCACATGGTGGGATGATTCATACTGAGATGCAGATTTCACAAGACGAAGGGGGGGTCTCAGCACAAGACATGACTCACAAAGACTCTCTTCCTCTTTGCTTAGAAAACTTGCGATGGCAGGACAGAATCCCAGTGAGACTCCACCCCCATCTCTAGGTGAGGCACGGCAAATATGCCATTTGGAAGGAAACACTTCATAGAGTGTGACAACAATATGTTCTGTGGGGATATTTGGGCTTTGAGTGTTAGCGGATTGATGCTGCAAGGATAATTAACCTCTCAAGCGAAGTAAGGTTCTCTTGGACTCTTGTAAATCCCAGCATTAGAAGACTTACTGAAAAAAAGCAATAATTGCTTGTTCCCTTAGGCGTAGGAGGAAAATAGACTCAGTTTTCCTTTCTGCGCTGTCTCCTTCACATGAACATATCTTAAAAATTGACATGGATCCTCTTGACAGCTGCTTATTCTCCTTCCCTGGTTGATGGAGTGATAGGAGCAAGAAGCTTTCTTTTCCTTGATGGACTCGGTGTTTCACTGTGCCCGAGGGAAGGAGAGGGGGGAATGACTAAATGTTTGCACTAGGACTTATTGAAAATGTTTACTGAAATGAATTTTTGAGTGTTTTTGCCAAGTTACCATTTCAGTGAAAGCCCAGGTTAGACCTGAGTAACAGACCCCACCAGGGAAGCACCAGGACCTACCTCTGACTGCTGGACTTGTCTCCAGCTTTATCTAGAGTTCTTCTCTAAGACTTAAAAATTTGCGTTTTTGCTCATTTCAATACTATTCTTTCCAACCCATAACGTTTAACACCACCACATGTCCAGCTTGGACTGGCAATGTGACTACTGTATTTGAAATGCTATCCATTCAGTTCCTTTATCAGTCAGGGAACTTTACTGTTACACAGGTCCTTCCCAACCTGGAGCCTGAATATAGTCACTCTAGCTCTCCAGTTGTCTTAAGATATTGTCCTAGAACAGCCAGGGCTATAAGCTCCATCTCCATTGTAATGTTATTTTTCCCCATGCGAGAAAGTGTGGCTTTGAACTCTCAGTCCAATCTTTTTGTTCCTTGCAGTGTGTGTTCTGTGCCTTCAGGATGATAATGATGTGGATAGACTTGGGGAGAAGCTGAAAAAAGGCAGTTTCTGTGTCCATCATTATTGTCTAGTAAGTGAGACATTTTGGAGTGAGTTTTTTTGTCTGGGGATGTCATTGGTTAATGCAAACGCATCGAGTTCCCCCATAGAATTCAGAGGCCCATCACCCTTTAGAAGGTGTCTTTAAGCCTGAAAGTCATTAAGATCCTTTGGGACCTGTTTCTTGCTACTAGGTGACCCTGGCCATGGAAAGCATACATTCAAGGATGAAGATTATGTCACACTTTGGCATATATCTGGAGGAAGAACTTCCAGACTGAGACAGAAATTTGTTCAGGAAATTCAGAGATAAATTTACTCAAGCATTACCCTGCCTCAGTCACCCCGCTCATTCTCTGATACTACACAGCACACCTCAGAACGCACCCTGCAACCATCAACCATCTCAGAAAGATGCCAGGGATGCAGAACCTCTAGCAGCCAGAAAAATCATAGGCATATAGGACTGGTAGAAACCTCCAAGACCATCTAGCCCAATTGCATGTACAAATGCAGGATGTTTATTCTTAAACCGTCCCAGACAAAAACCTCCAGTGAAGGAGAGTCCACAAATTTCTTGTAGCTGCACGGGCATGATGAGCATTTGTGTGCAGTGTTCCCTGTGTGATTTACCTAAGGGGCAAGTGCACTCATTGATAGCAAGGAGCTGGAGGCAATCTTGCACTCACTTATGTGTGTGTTGGTTAGGAGTGGGTAAGAGGAAGTGAGCTTTAGTTTACAAAAGATTATGCTATATATATATATATATATATATATATAAGTCACCATAGATTTACACTTTATAGATTAACCAAAATGTATAGATAGACAGACAGACAGACACATACATGCACACATGCATACACACATTTGGTTAGTCTACATGTATAATTCCTGTTCAGCCTAACAAGCTGTTTGGACCGCCCCTGCCCTGCAACCCTCTTTAGCTGCTTAGCAGTCCTAGGTTTCAATGCGTGTGTTCCCCTGGGGCTACCAATATTCCCTCTCCATCCCCTGTAGCTAACAGGGTTGGGGCTCCCTGTTACACCTCCCCCCCCTCCAAAATGTTGCTGACTCCTGGGATAGATAGTTGAAAGGAAACACAACAAAGGATATAGAATGGGCTTTTACCCTTATTTTGTTGTGTGAAGAATACAGATCCTAACTCAATGCATGTCAAAGAGCGGGGTGAAGGCAGTCACAGGTTGACTGATGTGTTCTTTCTCACATATTTTAGATCTTTGCCAATAAACTCAAGAGAAAGGGCAAGAAACGGCAAGGCTTTCATGGCCACCTCTTTGCTGACATAAGGAAGGAAGTAGAACGTGCTGCTAAGCAGGTGAGGTTGAAAACTTCATCTTGGTGACCATTAGAACAAGGATCATCTTCTAAGATAAGCTGATTTCCCATCTTATCAGAGGACTTGATTCTGATTTCCTTTAGATCAGGAATAACCCCATTGAGGTCAGTGAGATCAGAATCAGCCCCATCCATAAAAAGATGAGATGATTTAGAGCTTCTAACGATCCAAAAATTATTTCTTCATGAAGCCTGTTTATAGGGGTCTAATCAGTGAATTCAAGAGCAATAAGGCCCTTGAAATGCTGCCTGTGGATTTTACCTTTTTGGGGAGGGTGTGCTGCAATCCTTGTTTATATCGAACAAGTTCATAGTTCCATAGTTGGTAGGGGCTGAAAGGGACCTTACATATCGTTGGGTCCAGCCCTCCTTCTCTTGGGCAGGAAAGACTACTGGGCTCAGATGACCCCAGCAAAGTTGGCATCAAGACACTTTTTGAAGATTGCCAGGGTGGGTGACTGTACCGCCTCTGCGGGGAGCCTGTTCCAAACCCTCGGCCCTCGACTTGTAAAGAAGTTTTTTCTTATGTCTAGTCTGAAGCGATCTTCAATCAGTTTGTGCCCATTATTTCTTGTCCTCCCCTGGGTGGCCTTGGTGAACAGATGCTCCCCCAGGCCCTGATGTATGCCCTTGATATACTTATAGGCTGCTGCCAAGTCCCCTTTGAGTCTTCTCTTCTCCAGGCTGAACAGTCCCAAGTCTTTCAGCCTCTCCTTGTATGACCTGGTCTCTAGGCCTCTAATCATGCGTGTGACAATTTGCAGGTCTGTTGTGTGTGTGGTGAATATGGAGCAGCCACCAGTTGTGGAGACATAGGAAACTGCCAGAGGACTTTTCATTTCCCCTGTGGCCAAAAGCATGGCTTCATATCACAGTACTTTGACCCGTACAGGTAAGTGCTACCAGGAGTGTGTCTACACACGCACGCGAACACACATGCAGATTATATGTAGAACCTGTAGATCTTTTCTCAGTTTTTCCTTTCATTTATATTTGAATGGAGAGTGCAGGGGTAATTTATTACGACTAGTTGATGCATTTAATATTTAGACTGTAATGATTTGCTCCTTCCCAGAGCATTCTGTTATCAGCATGGACCAACTCAAAGCCTCCCATCAGGAGAGGAAGTAATGGGGGAAGCTAGCTGTGTGATCTGCTTTTCCTCCCTTGAGATTTATACATCCTATGATGTTCTTCAGGCCCCATGCTGTTACCGCTGGCTCCACAGAGCCTGTGTACAGGTGCGTATAACTTAGAGAAATGTTGGTAGTGCCAACAATGGTTGTTTTGGGGAAACATCTTTGGCAGTTGCGCTACCCATACAACACCATGTTTGTTGAGGGTGTTAGTGGAGAGACTGCTTGGATTACCTACCTAGCAGTCATGTTGCCAAGTCCTGCTTAGAGAGCTGTCTGTAAGGTAGTTGAAAATTTTCTGCTGAAAGAGGGTTTTGACAGTTTTGTTTTTAATATAATACATTTAGGTGGCAAGTGTCTGCTCTCCAGAGAAATGTTTGAGTTTTCACTGAATATCAAATGCAAAACAATTTCCAGTTGGATTTCTACCTTCCTGGTTTTGTCATAGCTGCTTTGGGGCTGTGTGTGTGAGAGGGATCAGATTAGACGCTCTTGTGAACCTTTGGTTGTCTTCAAATCCAAAGGACTCGTCTCAATTCTGAGACTCCTCTCCCAATCCTGTGGTCTATACAACTCAAGGGACCTTTAATTTATTCTCATCTTTGTCATTGGAGGAGTTCAGACACACTCACACTCGTATCATCCTTGGCAAGGATTCCTTGCTGGATTAGTCAGTTTAACTTTTTTTAAAGTTTTTTCTGTTAATTAGTACCACTGGTGTCTCCATCTGGGACCTGCAAACACATAGAGACAAAGCCCCAGATTAATTTAAGAACAAGGCAAAACACAGAGCAGGTCAACATCATTTTTATCAAAACTTTTTGATGGATACAAAAACGTTTGGAGAAAACCCTGTTTTCATGAAACCCCTCAGAAAATAATTCAAAACAAGTGTGATACAATCAAATTAAAAAAAAATCAATTTGTATTTAATTTTTGTCACATGGATAAATATTTTCAAGCAGCTCTAGCAAAATGGAATAACTGAGGCTTTTTTTTCCTATGCTGTGAGCTCAAGAATGTACAGGCCTAATTTTAATTCTAGAAATTGCAGTTTCCCATGTAGTTTACTCATTTGTGGCCTTGCTAAATAAAAATCAGATGTTTAACATTTGCATGTGCCAAAGGGCTAGCCACTTTGCTTAACCTGGACTCATCCCTTCAGTTCTTTGCTTTAGGCTTTATTTTCTCCTATGGCAAAACCAGACCTCTTGCAATCTAATTCACACTCATTTTTCAGAAATACGCCTTCAGTGCTGGATTGTTCTGCTTCAAATGTCCCTTTTGTAACAATCAGGACACATTCCCTGATGAAATGAAGAGGATGGGGATCAATATTCCTAGGAGGTAGGTCTCACTGCCTTGTGACTGCTGATAAAAATCAGTAGACAAAAAAACCCCCACAGAACAAGGAAGCCAGTTAGCAAACAGAGCACACACCAACTGCAGATGTTTCCTCAACCTGACAAAGGGTTCTTAAATCCAAAAGCTTGCTAAGAAAATTGTTACCAACTATTTAAGTTGGTCTGATAAAAGATATCAGATTCACCTTGTCATCTTTAAAGTCTCCTTTAAAGAAAGGCACTAGGCAAAGTGCCAGGAGCTACATTGGTTCTGAGCTAATCAGGACTTCACTGACTCACCACGAGCCCAGTTTTGCAACCCAGAGGCAAATGAGCAGGAATAAAGATTGCAAGAGGACACTCCATATGAATCAATAGAAACCCAAGATAAAATGACTCATGCCTTTTAGAGACCCAGGCTCTACCAGATACTTGGATCTGTGCCGAAACCTGAGGGTAAAGGTCTTTGGGGTGACCAGGCATTGCCAAGGCAATTTCTGTTTCCAATTAGTATGCAAACACCGATTACACGTGGTTCACAAGATAAATGCAGAGATTTTAGATCTCAGGGACACAGAGGAACAGACTTCCACTTTCAGCTTCCTCTGTACAAAAATGAAGTTTATTTTCTACCTATAGAGACGTTTTACCATTTTTAATTTTCCTTGAACCCGAAGGGCGTGTGTGCCTGAAAGCTTGCAGAAAAAGATTTTTTTGTGTGATTTCTTAGTTGGTGTAATAAAAGGTATCATCTCTGAGCCAAGAGCTCTGGAGTTTTGCATTCTTTTTGTCCCAGACCAACACAGCTACCAAATACATCCCTGAGTTGTAATAAAGGAAGCCATAGTATCAAAAGCACTCTGAGATGTTGTGGTCTTTCTGAATTCTTTGCAACAGACAAATTATTATTTTCCTGTAGTCAAAAAAAGAGTGAAAGGGGAACTTCAGCCTAAAAAAACAGTTGAGAGCCACTGTGATAACTGATAAGTTGTCTGAAGCAGCAGCTTCTCTTCCCTTTATAAAGTGGTTGCCAGGTAAATTTGTCCATAGCATGAGTGAGCAAGGGAAAGAAAAGAAAAGTTTTCCCCAGTGAGTCAGTCTGCATTACCGAGATGCAACTTTGCTGGAGTTTCCCTATTATTCTTTGTTCTCCAATACAGTTGATGGAAGAGAAGATTATTTGGCCAGAAGGCACTAATGCACCTGGCACGCAGTACTCCTTAGTCAGTTATATTCTTGCTCTCACCACTCCTTCCAGTTAAGAATAATGTATCTTGTTCTTAATTAGATTTTACCATAATAGCCCCATCTGCAAATGCTTAACGAAGTGTGTCATTTTGACTTCAGTGGGGATGGCCTGTGGGTATAAAGTTACTCATGTGCATCTGTCTTCAGGCTCATTTCCTTACAGAGCAACAATAGTGTAGGTGTTTTCGCCTTGACTGAATCAGCTCAGATGCCTGAGCTTTATTGTTTAATATAATCATCACAGCTCCTGGCTTTTATCTGATTGATGTATAATCTCTAAAATCTGTTACCAGCCTCTATCCTCTGATCTCTACTAGAGACAAGGAGGAGATTTCTCTCAGGGCATCATTATCCCACATCTATCTACTGTAAGTAGATGGGGCTGGTCCTCATCCCTTCCTCAGAATCAACTTGTGCTCCAAGATTGGATCCAAGACATTGGGTCTGATTCAGCACAGTAATTCCTATGGTCTGCATTCCT